ACAAAAATGTCAAAGATTCAAAACTTTCACACGACTCTTCATAGAATCAGATAAGTTCCTTATAATAGTCTCAGCATTCAATTCTTGAAAATTTTTTTATAAATTAAGTTCCTGGATCGAAAACATTATCTTTAGATTTTAACAATATGCAAGAATCACAAGACAAAATATTTCCATGAATCAAATACGAAGAGATTCAATAGTTTGCAATTCCAAAAATTAATTATAATCTTAAAACAGAATACAGTTTATTTTTGACACTTTTTAATTAATAACCTCTTCGTAGCCGAGTGGTTTAATGTCCGTGCCGTTATTATAAATAGATGCGGGTCCTGAGATCGAAACCCAGTGGTGTCGAATAAATAGATGGATAGGATATAATAATAAGAAGATGAAGATAAAGATTCTCGAGATCGTGAATCTCATCTGCATGAACGGTGATTTAGAATTTTTGATTCATATGCATTGGAGCAATTCGATTCAACATTTTGAGATTCCATTGTGATCAAATTTGTACTCACAAGTCAGTCAATTGTCCTGACGTGATTATTTTGAGAGTTGAATGTGACCCACAAATGTTCATTGGGCGGGAATCGTCTTAATTGTCAATTGAAGTATGGTAAATTTTTTATTTCTTGATATAAATTTTGTGGTTAACCAATAACTATTATTTACAGTGACAGATTACCTGATGAAGTACTTCAGACAACTGTTGCTTTCGAAACTACCATTGTATTTAAGTTATTTGATGATGAATTCAACCTGAAGATGAGTATAAAATCATTAGAGTAATTTACACTATCACTATTACTATTTACGCACAGAAAACTTTAATTTTATTTCAACTGCTTAATTCGATAACACATAAAACTCTTCTATTGATGGTTAATGTTATATTTTGCCCAATTTAAAAGTCATTTAAAATTGGATAGTTATAATAGCTAGAATCACAGTTATAACCTTATTGTGAAATTCAATAAAAGTGTAATTTTGCTTTTCAATCTTTCAATTGCCGTGATACGCGAAGTAAAGTTAATTGCTAACTTTTTATTGAATTATTATATAAGAGTAAAATATCATTATTTTGTTTTGATTGCGAATGGAAAGTTATTTGTAATTTATTGCATTCAACATCACGATCATGAATCCACTAATACGCGTTTTGTATTTCAGGGAACCAATCATTTATTTTGCAGTTATTCGTTGCGACATATTCTATATCAGTTCTAGTTCTTTCCTAGTTTGTTTCATCTTTCATTTTCAATTTTACCAAAAACACTCCATTTTACAAATGTCTTCTGCCTTTGGTAAGTTGCCATATTTATCATAATTCTCAATAAGTTTTTTCTTAATTAAGTTTTCTTATAATTACAGATTCATCAATATCTCTTATCGTCACTGGAATGGCAGGCTGGAACGGAAGGCAAGGTAACTATTGGAATGCTAATCAGATACTGGGAATGGTTAACTGCAATTGCGTTTCCTGGCAAGGATAAATGTTTGGTGGCGATGCATCTCTCATTTCAACAGATGGAAATTTCATTGATATTGCCAAGGTTAAATCACAAACCAAAATAATAGAGAGTCTTAAGTGATTTGGAAGCTATTTTACTATCTTTTGATAGATCGTTCTAACTAGAAATTTTTATAATTATATTAATTTATCCTACATTTGCAAGATTATGTCAGCAAGAATTAAGATTAAATGCAAATCAATGAAACTGAATTTCTTTGTAAATTTACAAAAAAATTGTGATGGGAATTTCACGACTTTGGAATACTAACAAATCAAATAAACGAAAAAGAGTCATTCGCAACACTATTTCAATATTATGCTATCTTTCATCTAATGCTTGCATAATTGTAATCTTTTTCAATATATCTTTGTATTCAACCATTAAAGCTTTATGTTGTTGAAATTTGTTGAAATTGAAGGATTCTTGATCATCAGTGTGCATTTTAATTTATGTTACATCGATATGCAGAAAAAAATAATCGTATCCTTGTTTTTGGTATATTTGCGCATTGAATTTACGCGCAACTTTAATTCAAAAATACAGTTGTCAACTGAATATTATGCAAGTTATCACAAAATCATGAGTGTTACAGAATAAAAAATCTCAGATTACCTATATTCGTGGTCAATTTGATAGTAACACCTATTGTAACAAATAAATTAATCACTTTATTGATTATTCCATTATGCGCAAGTTTGAATATTTTATTTTGAATATTTAGTTGCACTTGGTCGATTTTGCATATTATCGAGTAGATTATAATTAATTAGCTAATTGTGGTCAACTCTACATTAACTTAAATTTATAATTGAAGTTAATTAACAAAATGACGTTCACTGGTAATTAATTATAAAAGAATTGATAAAGAGAGCTGAAAGAATTTAGTATAAAAGGGTTAGAATTCCATTGTTTATCTCATATTAACTTCTCAGTTCCTCTCAACTAGTTCTCCAGCCACCGGTCAATTTTAGGAAGCATTCGTTGGCTCCCTTTGCCTTCCCTTTACCGTTACCTTCCTTATAAATCTTTAGTTGTAAAACCACCTAAAACTATTGTAACACTATTGTAACTCTATTGTAACTCTATTGTAACTCTATTGTAACTCTATTGTAACTCTATTGTAAACCGTACCGTTGTACCTTTGATTGTAAACCTTGCTTGTTAATTTTCAACACCAAGTGTATCTTTAATTGCGAACCCTTTATTGTACCCCTTTGTTGTTAACCTTCCTACGTCCTCTACACTCCACTACACAGATTCTGCTGCAAATAATCTCCGTCCAGTTTCTCGAAATTCATAGTAATTCATTCTTGCTATTCTTGCTAATACTCAATTCATTCATACTCTTTGCCGAATTCATTTCAATTCAACTTTCTTTGTCTTTTATGACTGTATATTACACGGTTTATAGTCATAAAAATTACTGAAATCTTAAAATCAAAGTAAATCGTATAAAGCAAATAAGATTCAATAATATTAATGTTATACATAAATCTAATGAATCATTAACGATTAAACAAAAGTAAAACATCAAAGTTAGTAAATTCAGCAACAATAAATATGATAAAATTGGGCCAATCTTACAATAAAAGCTTATTCTCAGAATTTTCATAATTCTTGCAATCATTAAATAACTTCATTCATTGTATTTTGACTAGTTTTCTTGTCAAATCAAAAAAGACAAGTTTGGATATTCGGTGGTTTAGACTGTGAATCAAAAGCCAAATTTGCAGAAATCGTCGAGTATAGAGGTAATAAGACTCCCCTCGGTGTGATTAAAAATATTTTGCACGGGACGTAAATTGCTACTCAGATTTTTGGAAAATTTATAATAATTTGGACCAATATAATTTGCATTCGCATGATCAATCAACAGTCAATCATTCGAAAAATTTTCTTAACCCAGCTAATCAGACTGCATACGCAAACTAAAAAGAGGATATGGAGGTCACTTAAGGATTATATTCAAAAGTCATTGAAGAGAGATGATTATATGATTACTTTTATGTGCGGTTAAATATCTTGTGTTTATTTAAGTAATCCAGATGTAAATTAAGTTAATTTTTAGTTGAGTAAATTTGTTCGTGAGTTTGCCGAAGCTGCCACTAGAACCAGATGAAATGGCAAATAGACAATACAGATGAATGTTCAACCTTACCATGTAAAAATAACTTTAGATTTAAATACAAAGAATGTGAATCCGAGTACAAGCTTTAATTTGACAAACTCTAATAAGAACAGACCCTTGCAACTGCCTTCTAGTGTTTATTTTTGGGAAAGATCAATAATTTTGTTTCTGCTGCCATCCATTTCAAAGCAAAAGCAAATGTTAACGCTATCCCTTTTGCAATCGATATTGGTTAACACTAGAGGGCAGCATCTCTTATGAAAATGGGTTCAATGATTGAGTTGAAAACAAAGCTGAGTGAGTAAAGATGAAATGAAAGTTGAGTTTGTTTTTACTGTCAGTGTTGGCTGAAAGTATTCAAGTCATGAGACAAGGATAAAGATGATATTTATTTTATCTTGTGTTGGATTAATACTAATGTGGCCTCAAAGTTCATATTGCCGACTCAATAATCAACTGAATGTTAATTGTTTTCGACTACCGATCCCAATTAGAGAATGCATTATATAATATATCTAATATGATTTTTTCATGATTCAGATTAAAATCTAGCATTGAGCATTTATAATATAACATGAGACACTAAGGGCAGTAAAAGTACTTACATTCAGCGATCGCATTTGTTAGCACCGTGACATAATGCGCGCCGATTCTGTTATTGGAACTATGAGAGTTGTATAAGTTAGAAAATGTAATCAGAAATCAAATAATCAATCAATAAATCAATAATCTGTTCAATGCTGCCAAATATACCGATTGGTCTGGGTATAAATACGGCTGAGTACGAACAGAGACCATCAGATTATGTTTGATGGTACATAAACTATGCTTATCATAAAGTATTGATGCAAAATCATTGACAAGTTTGAAAGCTATTCCAATGCTATAACAAACTTTTGATAGCCTGTAATTGTTTCTAAATTAGCTGTGATTATTTTCTTGTCTTGTTTTGCATGTGTTTCAAAAGTTCTGTATCTCTGTATTTGCAATTCGCGGCCGAATAATTATCTGAGTCTTCAACCTCATCGGGTTTTCATCAAATATTGGCCTTTAATCAAATTGACCAGTTTTCTTGCTAGCTCATGGTTAACACTGGGTACACGATGAAATCATCGACGATAAAACCTATTTGGATAAGACCACAAAAACTGAGTCAACATCTCCCTGTATCGGTGCAATGAACTGCAATTTCGATTAAAATGATATATGCTTCCATCCCGAATTTCGTACTTACTTGAAACTTTAAATTGTTCAATTATCTGCTTTCATGCCGCTTGTGAAGCATCTACACCTTGATATTATTCTTGGCATCTTTCGATGTTGATTGGCAATGAAATAAATTTTGACAAGTGAAATACAAGATTCGTTTGCATTTTATTGCTCCATTCAGACACTCAAAATCAAATGATCAAACAAATAATTTTCAAAAATAAAACAATCGAGAAAAGCAAATTAATTTGAAAAGTGATACAAAGTGTGTTTATGATTCGGAGAAATGCGCTTGTCCAATTGTTTGCGAATCGACCTCAATCAATGATTCCAATCTGAAATTTAATTTTCATTTAAAGATGGATCCACCAACAAATGAACAGCAACATCCAAGTCTACAATATTGTGTCTCATTAAACACTGGAAATGATGGCAATCATATTCACTCTTTTATATCATATCGCAAGTTAACCTTACATGATATAGGCGGAGATTCAATTCTAATTTTCAGTGGGTGGAGATAGTCAGCCATTTTAGGTTCTTTTAAAAGAACGCCTACAAATTCTGAAACATTTCAAACATGAATAATATTCACCATTCAATCAGCATTCGATAATGATAATCATGAAATGATTTTATTTGCATTTCAATTTGTTCTAACTTTTTTACGGTCGCTGTCAAATCTATTTCTCTCTCATCATGATTGATACCATTTTATTCAGGGGAAAGAGGAAACAATTTGTTGCTTGATTGTGCTCGTTAAGCTTCATTGTGAATGTTGATAATTTGTTGATATGTATTGAGGTTTAATCTTGGTTTTTAGGTTTACAAGGAAAGGTTAGCACAAGAGAAGAAAAAAATGAGAAAATGAAGAAATCAGAAATTCTTGGCATGGAAACTCGACAAGTGCGCAAGTTTGCGAAGAAAGTAAACTTCGTTGGTTAAAAGTAAAGTTGCAATTTTCATGCAAAATTTGCTTCCCTGAAATGTCATGGAAAATGAAATTCTGCAAGATTCAACATTTTCTCATTTTCTTCTTCTTTACATTTAATGAATATTTTGGTCTAGAAGTGAAAATAGATTAAAAGTTATATATTTTATCCACATTTATCATGTTATTACAGGTTATTCTGATAACAGTGATGATGATATATTGATTATCGTTGATAGAAGTTGAGTTTTCACTTTGAATTTGGTAGTTAAAGGATCATCTCAATGAGCCTCGTCAACTTTAACCTGCTTTAATCAAAGACCAGATTAGAAGACAAAATCTCTATCATTTCTAGGATTATTATTATTACAAAGTGAAAGATGATTTCACATGAAACTGTCCATTTGCTTGAATTGCTTCAACACTTGTGACTCCAGTTGTTCACAAATGGCAACAGCAAAGATGTTATTACACTTTATCCTGACCTGATTAATTCATTGTAAGCTTCAAGTGCAACAATAATAATAAGCCAAAGCGTTTAATTAAAAAGCTAAATTGTGGCTTAGAATGCAAATTGTCTTCAAAGTGCAAGTGTGTCCTTTCAATAGCATCTCATGTCGATCCATCAAAAGAAACATTCAATACTTTTCGATGCTCTACAATTTATATCATTATTATTATTATTATTATTACATTTTGCAGCTTCTTTTCTATCAACTGTATTTCCCATAGTTTTATGGTTGACTGGGAGTGAAAGGCAAGGGAAGGTTAAATATTAAAGCAAAGTTATTGTGATAAAGAATCGTTTTTTTACAGATAAGAGGATATTTTATGCTATTGCAAGGGAATGTTTAACCAAGCAAAACAATGTTCAACTTTTTTTTCAATCTTTTTCAAACTGATATTGTCTGAATATTGGTGAATATCATTTGCTAAATATTTTTCTTTGCCTTTTGCGAAAAGAAAAGGATTTCCAATGTTTTCGCTCTTCTCTTTACAAGACCGTCTTGGCCCAAAGTGAAGATATTTTCAGGGCAAAGAAGACAATTAATTTCTATTGTATTTACAAGGGAATTTATAGTATGCAGTATTCATTGCTAATCTATGTATATTCACTGATAATATCTTGAGAATTCTGAGAATGCTTTTATTTTCGCTCTTCAACTTTTCTCGTTTTTTTCAACTTTCCTGAGGTAACATTACAAGCTAAGCAAATGTTACACATTGAGATTGTACAACTGCAACAACCAAACACTTTTCAAGAACCAAGAGTTTCTTGAGAAAGAGTTCAGTTCATGTTCTAATTCCTAATTGTTGGCAGATTATTTGTTCCTTTTGGTAAACATTAATAAAATAATTGACATCTAGTTACACCTGAGAAAAATATCAAGCTTCTAAAGTTGATAGCGACGGAATTGATTCACTTCTATCTGTAAGCATTTCCACTATAGTCGACAGTTGAGTTTCGAGATTATTTTATAAGCAAACAAAATTTGACTTTTGTCTGCTTTAAAACACTTTAAAATTACAATTAAGTTAAAGTTTGAAAGCGAACATTTTTTTTTGTCTTTTCTCAATTTCAAATTGATATCTTTTCTTCTCAGTCAATTGAAATTGAAAGTTCAGATTATTATCACATTTGAGCAAAACCAGCAAAAAATAATTTTCATTCAACATTTCAAGAAAATCGCCAAGGAAAGTCACAATTTTTCAAGAAAAAGAGTGTTTTTTCCTCTTCGATTGGAAGACTTTGAGTGATTTTTGTCGTCACACAAAAGGGTTTGAAATGATCATTTTTACAGCTAATAAGGGTTAATGATTGTTAATATTGCTTAAAATACACTTAGTTCGAGTTTGAATTTTCCATAAAATAGAATGGAACTCGAATTGATATTTTTTCGATTCTGAATATGTTCTGTTTTTTTGTTTAAGGCTTTCAAATGTAGCTCCAATTTTAATGATTGGATAAATCAACTGTTTAACATTTTTCTTCTCAACCGAAGTTGAAAGTCAACATTGAAATATAATTTGATATTCACTCTTGATCCATGCAAATGATATGTAACATAAGAATGCATTGTTTCAGCAATTGGAAAGTCGATTGTCAATTGATCTTCAAAAGACTGACCATTACTATTAATCAACTGGATTCTTAATTGAAAGACTCAAGGGGCAGTGATTTACACCCTTTTCACATTCACATAGAAAAGGCCAAAAGAGAAGAAAAAAAGGTTATTTTATCATGATTAGTTTTACGATTATTCAGGGAATTATAGGGAGTCAGGATAGAGGAAAGTTGGGAAAACGACAAAACATTCATTCTCATTATTAAACTCGTTAAGAGATACTTTTGAGGTTGAAGGTGACCAAGGTAATAAGGATTCAGGTTAATGGTTAAAGATTTGTTCAACATTCACAATAAAGCATCAAAAATGACAACAAATGAAACAAGTTAACCAATCACAATTATGTCTATAATAAGTAGAAGATGAAGGAAATTTTTTTTTCGCCATTTGTTCTTTATCCATTTTCGATAATCAGTTGAGCTCAAAACTTTTAAAGATCATGGCCCAGTCGATCCATTTCGCTAATGAGAAAGTCGACGTCTTTTGGCTTTACTCCAGAACTGGAGATTATGTTTCGGAAAAAGTTGGGTTTATCACCTAAAGGTTGATAGCCGACCATCAAGGTTCCTTCATTCATCATTCGAGCCTTTAAGAGTGGAGTTATCTGAAAGAGAATTTGTTTCGAGTTGAGAAATTGGAAATTTAAAAGTTCTAAGAAATCATTTTTGTTGAGAGAAATGAAAAATGAATTTGAAAAGATGTTAGCTTTTTATATATGAAAGTGTAACTTGAAACTGTTTAATCCATTTTCAATTTTGACACTTTTATAACACTTTTTGCTTTTGAAACTTGATCTCGTCTTTGGAAAATGATTACTTCTCATGAAACTCACCCTTCCCAGTTCTTGTTCCCATTCACGGTTCTTTTCATTATTCCGTAATCGTGTTGGAATATACCAGAAGCATACGTTTACACATTCCGGTTCCGGCCAGATAAGATGGAATTTATCCTTTTCTTCTTTCAATCTTTTCACTAGATAACTGAAAAGGAAGAGAAAGTTTCATTTTTTGTTCTGTTCAATGAAAAGCAGCGTTTGGATAAACATTGTCAATTGATGAATGATGCAAAATGATGATAATAATGGGAAACTTGTGCACAAAGTAAACATAAATTGGATCAAATTACTCGAGTAGACTTGAACTTTATCGAGAATCGACTTCTTTCTCATCTTATTATCATCATTATTATTTGGTAAATAAATACTTACTGTGTCATATCAAAGAGATGGTCAATGTGCTTCTCATAGCCAGTGTCACCCTGCAAAGGCACAATTGAATCAAGTGTTAATCAAAAGGTGCAACAGGAAATTCACTTTCACTTTGAGTTTGGTTCATTTGAAAAAAAACTCGGAAATGGTCCATGTTTTGAACTAATAAACTTTTCTATCTTTTTATCAAAACTTACTTTGGATCGCCACATTAACCACAACTTGAAGATGTCATTGTGACGTCCACATTGAATAACTTTGTCTCCAGTATCGTATGAAACGTCGTAATGTTTGTCTTGTTGGAACAGGTAATCGGCACACATTTGATTGCATTCAATTAACAAACCCTGTCATCACAAAGAAGAACAAATTTGCAGGAAATTAGTGGATTAAATGGGATGGAAGGAATATCAATATTGAGAGGAGAATATCATTTTTATCAGAGAACAACAAAAAAGAGAAGAAAAATGATGAAAGTTGCAACTTCTGTTGCCTACCGATCATGATGATGATAATGATGAAGGGAAAGGAGAGAAACCAAGGGAACGGCATTTTGATGATGTTCACCAATTGCAACACATTGTACAACATTGAAAGATATTTGGTCGAGAAAAGAGGCAAATTCCTTAGCAGTTGAAGAGAGAGAGAAAAGGGAATCAAAGTTGGGCGAAGGGAATGAGAAGATGATGATAATGATGATGGTTATGATGAGGATGAGAGAAGAGAATGAAAGGGATTTTTCCTTTGCCTTTTTATATTTCCACTTGACTTATGGTAAAGCGTCAGCTGCTTTTGCTTACTTTTTTTTATTCTTGCTTCTCTCTCTGTCTCTCTCTGTGCTTCCTATAAATCTTGCAGCTTATGTGAGATTTCACTTTGTAAATGGTGAATCTTTTGTTCATTGGTGAAGCTGTAAGGTTTAAAAGGCAATTGATATCCAGTTGAAGGAAGCAAAAGTGAATGAGAGGGAAACAACGCAACATTCAATTTGTTCAATTTAGAGTAAACATTATAAACAGTTTCTCCTCGTTTTGTATCCACAAATTATTTGCTACATTTTAATAGCTACTAAGTCAATGCTATTATACAGTCAAGTAAAGTCACAATTAACCGATCAAGGCAAGTAAAAGTCGGTCAACTGGAATTTAAGTTTATCGAAATTGGCAAATTGTCAAGAGAAATTATTCTTTAATATCGCTACTTATTATTAATATTTCATATCTTTTATGGTCAATAAAATGTAAATCATACCTAAGATCGAGTCTTGAAATTTTATCAATTATTTGCTTCGAGTTAAATGATCGTATTTTTATCCAAAAATTTCCAAAAAATTCCAAAAATTTGGAAAAATTTATGATTCTCAATTCATGAACTTTGTAATGAATAAAATGATGAGCAAAACTCGGATTCATTAGGAAATGTGATTTTGAAGAAAAATTCCAATATTTATATTGGGCATGAAACGTCTGCTATTCGTGTTTTCATCTTTTCTGATATTCTGAATGAAACAAGAAATTAACTCATGAAATTTCTTTGAAGTAGCTGAAACCAATAGTCAAAGTTGAGGCCAAAACTGAGATGAAAATTTGAATAATTAGCTATTGATTTATTCAATTGTTTCTTAAAGATATAAGTTGTCTCCATGAGAAGAGAAATGTTTTCTTATAAATCGAAAGATTGACCAAAACAAGAAATGAGATGCGTCTTTACTCATAAGCCAGACTAGTTAGCCTTTGATCAAAATAGCATTTTGCTTCAGTCAATCAATATTGATGCCTTTATGAGCCAATATTGAATAGTCAAATTTCTGCCTCTGATATCAGTTGAAATTGATTAATTTTTTGATCTACACTTACATCTCGCTTAAAATGAACCGTTGAACACTGAAGTAGAGTTCCCATGAGCTTGTGTGGATTCCATGTGACTGACTGAGCTCGCTCAATACCAGCCAAACGATGTCGATGTTTCCGTGATAACAAACATCCTCCACCCCAAGCAGCCTGAACCCGAAACAAGAATAACGGTTAAAAGATGAAAATACAAATCAAATGGTTAATCGACTTACATCAATGTGTAACCACATGTTATACTTGGCACAAATATCTGCTAACGGATTAATGGGATCAAACGCTCCAAGAACAGTAGTGCCACAAGTACAGTTGACGAAGAACGGTCGGTGACCCTTTTCGATAGACTCTTTAACAAGCCTTTCCAATTCCTCTGGAATCATTCGTCCACTTTAAAGAAGACAAAAATTATTGTAAAGATGGAAAACATTTTTTACTAAAAAACAACAAAAAACCAACTTTGCATCAACAGGAACTTCAATGACATTATCAGTGCCAAAGCCACAAGTAGCGCCTGCTCCTTTAGTTGAATAATGACTCTGTGAATAACAAGATGAAAATGGATCAATCAATTGTTGAGTTGAACACACAGCATTTGCACTCCCAATGATGATAACGATGTCAATTAGGCACGAACTGTCCATCAACAAAAACAGTGAACAAGGATAACAATGAGAACAACTTGGAACCATTTTGTCTTGAAACTAACAAGCAAAATATCAATACATTTTTTTGTTCATCCATTGTTGCCTCTTGTTTCATTTCATCAATTGGTTAACATTTTCACCAAAAGAAAAAAAACAATGTTTTCCTTTTCTTCCTTTTATCAAATTATAACTATTTACATCTAATTACAGAATTGTTCATTTACTATCCAAGACAATTTCAATCAGAATGTTTCATCCATCGTTCAACATTATTATTTCGACTCCTAATGATACTCATTTATGTTGAAGAAGAAGACGGATTTATCTTCACAATTATTGTCTTCACTTCATTTCAACTCAATGAGGCCAATGAAATCTGAGAATCATCTTTTTACTCAAATAACCGTAAATCAGTCGAAAGATTATTTCTGTTTTCAGATCAAATTACAGCTAATCATTTCAATGTTTTGCCTTGTTTGGTTCAGGTGACAGTAACTTACATGTTCAGAAGTAAACAGAACCAGCTGAGGTAAAGCTTTAAGGCCTTTGGTCTTGTACTCGGGAAACATTTGATGTCGAGCAACAATAATGGCATAAAGATTCGAAATAGCACCACCTGAATGGAGAAGCGAAAAGAGTTATTAATCGAATTTACTTTTGAAATCATCTTACCTGGAGCAAGGATTGAATCACCATTTGGAAAGCCAATGATGTTTCGCATTTTTTCCAGAACAAAGTGTTCCATTAAAATGAATATTGGTGCAATTTCATAGGTAAACCTGGATTAGAAATGTTGAGCTCCAGTTATTAAAAGTTGAAAGCATTTTGTAGGATTAGGTTTGACAACATGATAATGAGGATGGAAATGAAAGGAATCGTGATTCAATTTAACTAAGGTAATCAGCCTTGAAAACAGTCAATTTGTTTAAACTTACATATTGGTGTTGGCTGTTGCTGTTAACCATTCACCAGCCATTGAAACAATATCCAAACCGCATGAAAGTTGATTGAAATAATGTGGATGCCCTGAAATTCAATGCAAATGTTTTACTTCATTTTAAAGTCAAATTGATTTTTTTGCCATTATTTATCTTCTTTTATTAAAATATAACATTTTCATTATCTGTTACTTTGGATTAACAGTTAAAGTGTTTGAACGCTTGACTGGGAGTTGCAGTTGATAATGTTGGTCATTCTGTTATCTCGTTACTTCAGACCTTTAATGTGACAAAAGATGAGTTTTGACACAAAAGCTGGTAATGGTAATAAGAAGGTAAAGGAATACACAATTTAATAAACATTGGTTTAACATTGATCCAGCAAAATCAAGTTAATAATCACTTGCCGCAGGCAACGCAAAGGCAACATCAATGGAAAAGTTTGGCGATAAAAAAACGTGTCATCATCATATCTGTTTACTTTGCTTTCAGCGATTAAGGATTATTAGTTCTTAGTTGGGATTACATTTTATTATGTTAAAGCTAACAAAAGTGATATCAAACAGTTTAATGACAAACTTGTAAAGATTAATTAATAAACTTGTTCTTCTTATCATTAACATTTATAAGACTTAACTTCAATATTAATCAAAACATTCGACTTGTAATATTTTCGACAAGTTCCAGTTCTAATTAAATACAGAGAAAATTTAAACATCAAGTTCGATTCGATTTAAGCCTTTTGAGAATATTAAAATTAAGATCGAGAGCGAAAAGTAGATTTCTTAGAAGTGCGAAAGAGCTAAAAATCACGAGTAAGTCTTCGCAAGATTTTCAGTGAAGGGTTCGAGACTGAACTTTTTCTAATTGGATTATTCTAAGCTTTGAGCGAATAGTGTTTTTAATTAAAGTTAATTTAAGACTATGAAAACTCCTTGATGAGCTGAAAGGACGAAGCAGCATTTGAATGTTTGGCTCATTTAAAATTTCAATAAAATCGATTGAAATGTTCAAATGAAAAGTTTTGTGTTTAACGACTAAACGAGAAAAAGATGATTTGAAATGATTAAACAATTTAGAGTCTTGATTGAAAGAAATTGATGAAATTGTTAAGTTAATTAACAGTCAATTAATTTATCTAATAAGTAAATAATTGGTAGACTTTTGCAGTAATCTTTCCTGATACAATGTTTGATCTTGGGCACACTTTGATAAACATGATAATTTTAATTGAATTTGCATGAAAAACATGGCACTAAATGATCTTGATGATTAGTTAATTAAACAAAAAATGGTAAAATATTGAAAGACGCAAACTCAATTTCATTATTCACTGTTGATGGAAACACGAAAGAGAATCAATTCAACCATTATAGATGTGAATCCATTGCAAGGTGTTGCTCAGTTAACGGAAGTAAACATGATTCTGAGGCAGAAAAAAATGAAGGAACCACTTCTTTATAGGTCAAAAGGGGGAAAAACAAGAGTAAATCGATAATCGATTGTTGAAAGAAAGAGCAAAGAGAAAGAGAATAAATTTCATGGTCGAAAGATTTGTAAGTATTTTGTTAAGGTCAAATGTAAGGCAAGAAGATGATGAAGGCAAAATGATGGCAAAATGATGAGGAAAAAGAATCGAAAAAAGAAAGGATTCAACATTTCCGTCAAAATTTTATTCCATTTTTTAACCTCAAAATACATTTCTTTAGTTTCATCTTCCCTCTAATATGAGTTTCACTTTACTGGGAGTAAAAACTCCGAGTAAATATCTTTTGAAGCCATGATGACTTCAACTTTGATTGGGTAAGCAAATTGCATCCAACAATGGGTAAAGAAGATGAAGGAAAAGATTGATGAGATCAATTGTGATTAATTATTTTCTTTCACTTTTATCATTCACTGAGAATCGAGTAATCACTTGTAACTATTATTGAAGTCAATCAGTTGACCTTAATGTGTCTTGAAATAGTTAATCAATGCAGTTTAATGTTCAATGGATAATGTTGAGGATTAAACGAAAAGGTTGAAAGAGGTTTGTAACAATGCATTTGATTCATTCCTTTGTCACATTTGCTTAAGTTGTTTGCCGAATGAGTTTTACATTTTTTAGACTTTTTTTTATTTCGTTTTGAAAATTGATTTTCAATGGAAATGTCAACCAATCTTGTTGGACCATTTTGAGGTCTATTTTTGTCTGTATACCTTTAAATCTGATGTGATGATTTAAGTTGATGGTGAGATGGGAACATGTTGAGAGTTTACCTTATGTTGGCTCTGAACAAATGGGAAAAATGTTGAAACTGAGTTATCGGAAAATGTAAAAGTATTAATATAAAAAAGAAGAAGGAAAAGTGAAAGTTTTGTCCTTTGTATGGTTTAGTATTGTTTGCTTGTGAAAAGCCATCAACTTGTAAGTGAGTGGATCTGTTGAAGCTAAATAACAAGTCAACTGTAATTGGATAACCATGTAAATGCAAGATTTTCTCATCTTGAAATAGATTCTTAGAGTTAATCCAGTATTTGATTTGTGCAGATTAACTTAATAATGGCAAGTATAAACTGTGTCAATGTTGATATCCAATTGAAAATTGATGATGGACAGGTTGAAAATGTTTTCATAAACTGGACTTGAGGTGATACTTTTCCTAGTTATTAATATTTTCCTTCATAACTTTCATTATTGCAATACTTGTGATTTCCTTGTCAAGAATAAAGTCTGATGAAGTCGCAAAACTAACATCTTCAGCTTAAGCAATTGTCCAACTAATAACTAATTAAATGTTTTCATTCAAAAACGAAACTCTTTTCATTTTCCTGTTCATTGCAACTTCTGCTTCAAATCAATGGACATTATCAGCAACTTGACTTTAGACTAGTTCCCATTATGCTCGAATAACTTCGTCCTTAGCTGACCTTAAAACCAGACAATTTTTCTGAAGATATTGACAAATCTGAAAGATTCGTTTCAACTGATTCAACTAATCTTCAATCTTCCAGTAAACTTTTTGCGAATCGCAAAAGTCACCCAAAGTTGCTATTCCATCTTAAAAAAATGGAATAGCATCCATGGAATTTTTGCTTAAAATTTGATATCATGAGAGAATAGCAGCGAAATCGATTTCAAGTTTAGTTTCTGAACAATGATAAATACATTTGAAACGAAAATTGTTCAAGAAAAATGATAAAACATCTTTTCTATGCTCTTAATTACTTTGAATCTGAAATGTTAACAGTTCAAGTTTTCGTTTCTATTAATAGGCTGAACCTTGACAGACTCACATATTGACCTAATTTTTTTGGCTGATATTTGAACAATTTTCTTAACCATTGAGTTGAGAAAATAAATTATATTTAATGATTAAAGAGTGAAGAGGAAAGTTGATGTGAAACCATTAAGTGAATAACATTTTCACTGTCACTTATCTGATTGAAGATTGCGTTGAAATGGTGAGAGATTCAAGTGACAGGGAAGCTTGAAGGAAGCCATAAGGTTTGATAAATGTTGAAAGATTCAAACGCTATTTTTGATACTTTTTAATTTCAGGAGAAAGAAGAGAAAAAAGAAAATGAATTTTTACAAAGAAAAACTGAATTTCCGTTAAGTAATAATTTGCTGTTAAAAGATAAAAAAGTAATGATGTTATGAGAGGAAAATGATGAGCTTAACTATGAGATTAACCAGCAAATGGAGTTGAAAATGGTAACAATTAAAGTATTAATATCAATGTTGAGATGAAATTTGTTGAACCAATCAATGCTTGCGATTTTTGATTGAAAATTCAATATTTTCTTTGATTGTCATTTCAATTTTCATCTGATTGTTGTCAATGGAAGGCAAAAGTATCACAAAAGTCTAGTTACACTTGAGATTCTTGTTTAGAAATGCTTGTTTTTTTTTCTTCTGCTTTTCCCTTTTTTTATATAAATATATATTCTGTCAACGATAAATAAATGTAAGCGGATTATTTTGTATGCGATTCAATGATTTTCTTCTTATAACTTTTTCTTCCTCATCATATTTCTGTTCAAGCATCATCTTTTTTCCTATTGATAAATGTAATAATAATATCAACATTATTTGTTATAATAACAGAGAAAAGGTGTTTTGATTGAAAATCAATTGAAGAAGGCAAAGTGAAAGCAACTTTACTTCCAAAAATGATTACATGATACAAATTTCCATCAATGATTCCAACAAGATTCATTGTGATGCCCTTTTCAAATCAACTTTACACTTTGACAAAAATCGACTTTCATCGACTGATTAATCAATGCTTTCGGAAATTCAGAGTTTTGCAGCGATTCATCAGATTAATTAATCTATACAATACAGTATATAAGGCGAATACAACCAATTTTTGAGCTAAAATTTTGGCTAAACGGAAAGTATTCTGAAACTTTAGTACCAAATGAAGGCATGATTCGACTCCAGGTTGAGATTTCTCAGAATTCAGGTTACTGAGAAATACAGGAAAATATAAGCAGAGGAAAATGAAGAATCGAATTCGAAGGAACTATTTTGGTTCAGTTTGATCTTTTTTACCTGCATTAGAAGCATACGTAAAACTTTCTTGCGAGTGTCTTCAGTTTTTGCAATGTTTTGTTATTTAACATAATCCTGTCTAAAACAATTGAAATTGGAATTATTTATAATGATAGTTGAAGCGGATTGTGGTAAAAATGTTAAGTTTCTGAACAATAAAAATTTTCTTATTAAGATTTCATCGTTATTATCGACATTATCATCAAGACATGTTTGTGACAAGGAATTGACAAATTTAATTGATTGCTGCATATAATTGTCTTGATAAACATTAAGCTGGAAAATAAATTGAAAAGAGTGGACCTGAAAATGATAATGAAAGCCAAAAAAGTTTAGGCCCAAAACTTTACTTTCAACAGACTACAACAATTATTTCATTTCAGTTGTTCATTGAAATTTGGTTTTTCAGGCAATCCAATTTTAAACGTTTTCAACTGTTTCATCAATTCTCATGACTTTATATTAAATTGGAGAAACTATGCAGACAGGAAATATTTGCGTATCACTAATTATTCTGGATACAAATTCCAATTCCAACAATTCAAAGTTAAATTTCAATAACTGAAAGGCCATTGATTTAGCTAGAATTGTAAATTTAACCAGTTAGCCTTTAAGGATAACTCAGGTTGAGAAGCAATAAACATCGATTTTAAACATTGATCAAACTTGAGTAAAAGTAAAATTTCAAAAGTTGCACCTTGAAAAGGTCAGAAGTCAACCTTTCTCAGCAAAAGATCAAAGCACTACAAGTCTTTAATTTTCAGAGTAAAGTGAAAGAAAAGACGATTCATTGAAACACTGGTTAATTCAACTTCTCCGCCTTTCCTCATTCTAATGTATTCTCATCAATTTGAATCAATTCTGATCAAATGGTTAAAGTGAACGGATAATTGTTAAGCTCAATCTTTTCGAAATTACCTTTTTTTCGGTGAAAAAGGGAAAAGCAAAAAGAGCAGGAGAAGAAGAGAAAAAAACATCTTCTTAAGGTTTTTCCTTGCAATTTTGGTATGACATTAACTACAAGGTTTACCATCAATCTTGTAGGATCATCCATGGTAGACTGATCAACATGATCCTTATGAGAGACTCAAAACTTTCTCCTCCTTTTCCTCCTACTTTTGCTTCTCCTGTCATCCACATTCTTCACATCATTTCTTCTTCCTTATTATTATCATTATTATTGAAACTCATCTTTCACTTCTTCCTTGTTGACTTCAAATTGCTATTTACTCTTCACTCGCCCGGTTTCAACTCCCAGTTCAAACATATTTAACAGATAAAAGTTTGCATTTTCATGGTTCAATTGTCAATTGAAACAAATAGCACAAAAAAAGAAGTTAAATAGAAAAGCAAGAAAAAGTCAAATGATAATTACCTGTTTTTACTTGATATTTTAAACATTGCTTACAATCGTTTAAAATTTGTTGAATATTCTTTGGATTCTCTGGAATTGTAAAGTCAAACAGTTGCTTCAGTTGATTTGGTTGGTGAAAGTCGACAATTTTTGTTGATCGATCCGAAGATTCTTTGATGAAATCGAGTAAAATGTCCACAATTTTCAACAAAAAGCTTCTCGTTGCTTCATAACCAGTCTCATTGGCTGGGAGTAAATCTGTGAAGAAAGAAAAGTGATTTTTTACAAAATTATCATCAAAAGACAATATTAATGCTTGGTTAATCTTCTAGAACGAAATGTTTATCGCATTTGTTCAGTGTTAACATTTCGCCGTTCAATTATCAAAACAAACGAAGAAAACATTTGACAAGGAAAATGTGTTTCAAACAAATTAATATCAAAAGCTGTTGCCACTAATAATGCAAGCAGAAGAAAAGGAAAAGAACATCAAAATTTTCTCTTCATCTGAACATGAGCTTGAAACAGGTTGAAATTATTACTTTTAAACTTAACCTTTCCATCTTGAGAGAAGAGAGAAAAAAGTGAATCGAAAAAATCAACTTTTTTGACAACTTTTCTTATCAATTCAACAGAAATTTCAATTCCATTGTAACATCATTTGGTAATGTTGATATGGAAATTGTTTTAAAATGTTTGATAAGAAAATGAAAGAAAATGAAATCTCTTTTTTTCTCGCCTGAATGTTAATCATGAATCGAGGGAAGAAAGGTAATGAGATGGGAAAAGAATGGATCATTTTGCAGCATTTTCATCGTCATTTGAGCTCACTTTCATCATCCATCTTTTTCCCCATCAAATGATCATCAAAGGAAGGGAAAGCAAAGCCTAACCTCTAATTAGATGCTTATTTGCTCTTCACTTTATCTTTTCACTTTTTTTCATCTTCTTCTCATTGATTGTGGTGACATTTTATTGTCAACTATCATTTGACTCATTCAATTGATTTATCATCTCATCAACAGCAAGAAAAGCAGATAAAAATCAATTCCCAACAGAATCAACATGATTAAGTATTATCAAGAGAATCAAGAGTCGACAAAAAAAAGAGAATCACTTTTTTCACCATTTCTTTACAATCTTTCATTACAATCTTTCATTTTGCATCTTTAAATTGCAAACCAGTATCAAAAATGTAAATCGGATTAACAATTGTAATCACATTAACCTTTTGTTTAAAGTCAACTTACCTGAAAATAAAAGGTTATCAATGTTTGTATCATTCATCTGTTGATTGATTTGATTCTCGGTTGTTTCATTCGTCATTTTTACGTCAACTTAAGCACAAGATTCACTTAACAGCAAATTAACATTTAATGATTAACAAGGAAATGTGATTATTGGCAGGTAAAGAGTTAACAATAAATTTTTAAAACAAGTAACAGTTAAATATCTAGACTTTACACAAACATTAACAGTAACAATAGTCTTTAGAGTTAAACTTTCATGGTTAACAGTTGAACAGGGAATGAAGAGAATCTGTGAAATTGAATAAAGAATATTTTCTCAAATTCTAATCAATTATATTTTCTCTCTCTTTCCCTATGAAACCTCCTCCTTCCATTGGTAGAACCTCCCATTTTGTTGGTGAAAATTCAGTTCAATTTACCTCAAAACATGAATCGAAGCAAATGAACAATTGCTTTTGCTTTACATTTGAATAATTGTTCAGTTAATTGTCTCTTTAAGGTCAACTTTGATTCAATTTATTCAAAATGTTGAGTTATTCAAACTTCCGGTGTTCATTTTCACTAATCTTTTTTTCTCTTGATTCGCTTTTCTATTCCATTTCAGGGTGGAGTTTCATGCTCACTGAATCTCCTTTGATTGGTTACATTTATTGTGACGTAAAACTTTGCTTCCATCCAATCAGAATTTTCTTTTTTTCACCATTCTTCATGATGAACATTTTTTTGTCATATATTTTCACTTGCTTTATATCAGCATTTCCATCATGTTATCATTATTATTATTATCTTGATATTTTCGCTTTTTGCTTGCAGCTTTATTAATGTTCAAACTACGGTTTCATGTTGAACCATTTAATGTTATTGCTTCTATTATTAGTCTTTTCATATTTTTACGCATCATTTTCATGACCTTTTACCTTTTACTTTTTTCAATCTCAGCTTTCCAACTTTCATTTCTTTTTCCATGCAATCAGAATTTCTGATTTTCTTTCATCAGTTTTCTTTGTCATTTAGCGATTTTTTATTCATATTTAGGTGATCAGTTAATGAGAACAGTTTAGTACAGCTTTTAGCTGTGACTCGTTTTAATGTTTATTGTTAGTTGTTTTCAATCGAAATTTTGATTATTTTTGCTTTCATTTATAGGATTTTTCAGAAAATTTCATTGGAATTGTTTCATCGAAATTAGATTTTTCAGAATCGCCATTCACTTTAATGAACAGTAGATGGAGCCTTTTGTTTGAACCGTTAGGTGTTCTCTTTTTGTTGCACTCAATAGATGGCATAACTGCTTAAGATGGTGATAAGTTTTTTTGATTGAAATTCAATTATTCAATGCAATTAAAACCAATTTTTATCAATTCAGTTTTAGAAATAATGAAGCTGAGTCTGACTCTCTAAATGTCAAGTATTGTTTGAGTAAATTTGAAACGTTCTATTCTAAAATCTGATAATCAAAATCCTTTAAAGACAAAAAACAATCTAAACTGGATAATTAACAATAAAATTACTAATAACTCGTGATCTTTATTTAGAGATCATCTCACAATGATATATCGACCTAATGATAGATACTTATCACATCATGCGAAACTTTTCAATTATCGGCTAACAATTTCTAAATTAAAATTAACTTCATCTATTGACCAAAGATCTGAAATTCAAGTCGAAAATTGAACATGGAAAACTTCGCATGGAACGAAACAAAAACAAATGGAGAGCAAATCAGTAACTTGAATAACTTGTCAGCCAAAAATCCACAATTCAACGAATCGACTAAAAGCACACGAATTTTCAAACTAAATTGCTGATTTTTTTCGATCTTGACTTTTTCCGAGCTATCATTCAATGCTCTTATAAAGCGAAATGTTCAAATACAATAGCTTCTATCCTTTTACAGGCCATTTTAGAATCCATTCATTGAGATTTATAACGATCTCACGGGTAAACTAGCAAATTAATAGAATGGCCATTATCATAAAACTCTTCACGGTATAATAGCACATTAAATTTCGATCCTGTCTTCATAATAGAATGGCTTTGTCGTTGCGTAAAATCCTGATTTACCTTTGACCTATGAAGTAAAATTCCTGGAAATGAGAGAGAAAGAGAGAGAAATGGAGAGAAAAGAAGAAATGTAAAACTGATCAATAACTCAATACATTAAGAGATGGGTAAAACAAGCATAAAACAATACAAAGGTAATCTTTTAGTTTCGAAATCACAATCATGATTTAAACAAGAAGAACTCCCAATTGTGGTTAAAACAGACGAAAAGATGAAAGGGAATCGCAGTCAATTTGTTTAATGATAATCAAAAAGTATTTAAAATGATTGAATAAATTACAATGGTAGCAAAGGAGAGTGGAGGTGACTGTTTGGCTGTAACTATGGCTACTGTTAGTCACGTGAAGATTTTCCCAGAAACGGTTGAGCCGCCTCTGTTAGTTAAAATGTTCAACTTGAACACAATTGATTTGCTTTTCGGTGGATAACTTTTCATTTGTTAAACTTTGATTCACGAAGAACCTGTTTTAGGTCAATTAATTGGTTTTATTTTCAACGATTGCCCCGTAATGTGGGCTTATTTCCCGTCAGTTCATCTCTTTTTGGTCATCATCTATTTAATAAGGTAAGTGACATAATTTTTAACCGATTAGTTACCCATTTATTGAGTTTGCAAAGTCCATTCTTCACTTCTGTCCCCTTTCTAACGTTGAGATTTCAAATTGAGTTTTATGGCTTTTGACAATTTATTAAATTTTGCCAAAGATCGATCGGTTAGTCTTGTTTCATTATCCACATGTTATTTGTTTACATGTTTTGGTGAACTTGGTTGCTCATTCAATGTTCAATGTTTGAAATGTCTGGACATATTCCAACCTGATCAATAAGTTAAGATTTGAATGATTTATTGATTATGTAAAATGTATGTAATTAATCTTGTTTTCCAAGGGTTGACTAGAAAGATCGCAATGAAGTTTTCAAGCCATGTTGAGTTGATTTAAAGTTATTCATTTTTCTCTCACGCGTAAAGATTTATGGAATTGATTAATTCCCGGCTCGATCAATAAATCCCTGAATATGTGATAACCTTATTTATTCACATTTCATACTTCCAATTAGTAAATTGTCACTAGTTTCATTGTATCGGCATATTATTAATCTTTAATTTTTCCACTTTTTTCCAGCTTTACATCTGGATATCAAATGAGATTGGAAGATCACTACGAAATCAACAGTCAAATATCGGACAATGAAATAGATGATTCCAGGATCGAGAATGTTAATAGTAAGTTTATTGATCCTGTTAGTTGATTGGGAAAACTGTTTAATAATTCTTATATTTGTTACTAATTTCAATTTATTTTCAATTGGCAGGTAAGATTAATGATTGTCGTAAAACTGCTCTATGGAGTTGTGGTAATGCCCTTTTGAAGGCTTCAAAGTTCCTGGATTACTTAATTGGCAAAGAAAGTCTTTACGCTAAATGTTCCATGAAAAAAGCTTTCCTCAATTGCCTTAATGAAATGAGTTCCAAGAAATGTGGCCGTAAACGAGGGAACCTCCACAAACTAAGTCACAAGTTTAAGCAAAAAGTTGCCCAGGTTTTGTGGTCAACTCGAAATTGTTATATTGCGCCATTTTTCGCTAATCAATTGGAAACGTAACAGCGAATCAACATAAATAACTAAATTATACTCCATTTGGTTTAGTAATCAACATTCAACCAATTGTGATTTCCTGTTCCATCGGCTCTACCATTTCTCTTTGTCTCCCCATTTTCGGAGGCCTGCACAATTGAAGTTTAGAATTGTTTTGGAGCTGTTAATTTATTGAAGGAATCACTTGGATAAATCTCGACCAACAATCAAGCTCACCCAGGAATCAACAAAAGCTTAATGTTCAGCCTGACCTAATGTTAATCTTGAAATCGATTGATAAAATATTTCTCTCATGGTCATTCCCCATTCATTTTGTCTTCCTTCGTTGGATTTATTTGACTACGAAAAAATAACAAGTTAATAGAAGATAGTATTTTAGTACAAGAAGACTCCGATAAATAAGTTCAAAATTTTAAACTTAAATCCTCATCATTCAAGTCAAAAACTTGTCTTAATATGCATTAATTGAGTAATTAATAGCCATGCTGTTATAAAGAATCTCATAAGTACAGTCCTTTGATTTAATCAGATTCAAGGCTTGCTTGAATAGTTCAAATTTTGGGCAAAACAAACCTCTAAGCTCAATCCGATTTGTGTTCAAAGACTTTTGAAATTAAAGTTAATAAATAATAAACAAGCATAAAATGATAAAATTATTATAAAAACATTCTCATTTGTTAACAAAGCAATTGATAAATTACTCTATCAAACATTTTGTTAATCTTGTTAACTGAAATAATAAAATCCCATTAATAGTCGAAGACTTGATTGTTACTGGAATATTCAAAGATATAATGTAAGTCAAGTTTCAATTAACAGCTTTATACAGCTCCCAATAATTAGTTCAATCGATTAAAATCACACCAAACTAAAATCGAAAAGTCCTGACTAGTTCTTTAATTCAATAGAGCATGCTTTGCACGTTCTGCACTGCTCGAAGTAATGACTGAACTTGAGATTTTTCAAGCATTTATTAGAATGGTTAAAATCAAGTAAAATTGACATATTAATAATACAATTGACTGAGATTTTTTGTATCTGCATTCATTTCTTGCTTCCAAGCCAAACCAATTTAGGTTTACTTATGATACAATATACATTCTGAAATTAATTGATCAGATATTAAAGTTATTGGTGAATTGATTTAGTTCTGGATGAATTTAAACGACGTGTACAATCTTGTGTACAAAAGATGTTTAATAATCAAGCTATAACTTAGAATTGATCATTCTAGCTTGATCAACTGAATTAATCATTCATTCAATTGGAGATTTCAACAGTAGCACAATTTTTACATGTAAATATCGAAATAAACAGAAGAGATGAAATACAGTTGATCGTTCATGAGATGTGATTAAAGGTCAAATTTTACATCAAATGATTTATTTGGCTTTGAGTGCTTACAAAAATTCAAAATGGGGGTGAAAGATGCACTGAAGATGGCTCCAATGGTTGAATGATGATAAAGATAGACAGAATGAAACCACATCACTTAATCAAATGAGAGGTGTTGAAGTAAAATGCGAAGAGAATACTTAAGGACATTTACGCTCAACTTGAGATTTTCCTCCTTCATCATACTCCTGTTTTGAGATCCACATTTGTTGGAATGTTCCCTATAAAAAATATTTAGATTAATTTTAATTCACTCAAAAATAATAATAAAGTTTAATAAGTTCAAAGAAATAAATTGAGAAAGCTCTTGAGGTAAACTAACCAGAGAAGCAAGAATGGATCCACCAATCCAGGCAGCATATCTTCGTTCAGCTGTTCCAACAGGACTGAGGAGTTTCAATCTCATACTCTGAAAAATAAAAGTAAAATCAGATAAAGAATCCAACCCCAAATAACTAAAGGAAAATAATAATATACCGGTGGAGTTTTGGTCGATAAATCTCGATTAAGTCTATCTGTGAATCCTTGAATAAGAGTATTTCCACCTGTCACTATAACAGATCCGTATAAAGCTGGCTTTATATCAACATCGCACATTCCTACACTTGTGGTAACTATCTGAGCTATTCCCATCACAGATCCAGGAACTCCTTTAATATTAGATGGATCAAATAAAGCTTCGGGGATTGAAAATCTTTCACATCCAAAATCTTGATTAAAACCATTAGGAAATTCGTAATGCACTGTTGGCATGTTTTCGATGGTTTCCTTGTCGTAAGGTGCATCATGGACTTGTAGAACACAGGCTTGAAAATCTTGAATAACTTCTTTGACCATGTAATTGTGCCATGATTTACTCACTTCAGGAATATTAGTTTTCTTAGTCCATTTAGGTACCGCTCCTTCATTGACAGCTTCTTTAGATGCAATCTGATAAGGTGGAACAATTTCAATGTTATGTTCTTCAAAATATTGGCGACATTGCATAGTGATAAAATCACCAGCAAGAGGAGATTTAACAATCATTTGTTGCAGCACAAAACCATCATGGATTGGAACAGCAGAGGTTTGAGAAGCTCCAGAATCAACAACGATACCTGTTGATCTTCCATTGGCAAAAGCAGACAGGACAGCATTTTTAACTAAGAAAAAAGCCGGTATATTGTACTTTTCGAACATAATTTCGGTCAATCTTTCTCTTTTACTTCTTACATTCCACTGTAAATAATAGAAAAGAAAGAAAGTTAAAGAAATAATTGATACTAAAGGAGAGATAATAATTTTAAGAGGAAATCGTATTATCGTACCGCTGCTTCTGACATTAATACGGGATGTAATTTTGGATCGGATTTTACGTGTTTCGCATAAACATGGTCGAGCATTTTTTCGAATAGATCCCAATCCTCAACTAAAAGTAAAAGTAAAGTAATTAGATTAGTATTATTTCAAATGAAAAGGCAATATTATTGAAGTAGAAATGTTTGTATGATTCGATTAGGAAACATATGAAGTGAAACCTCACATGGTTAGATTAATAGAATAATTTTAGAATAAACAAATGATGAAATGTTACAAGATGACTTACTCATGCCGTCTTTGAGAAACGTTGTCATTTCAACACCTTTCCTAGGAACATGAATAGATGTTGTATCGATGAAATGTTTTCTTTGTGCAGTAGGAGCCGGTTGAGAATCAACTTCCATTGAGTTATCAGGAACTTCATCGAGATAACCAACCATACTAGGTATCTCAGCTTTAAGAGAATCCTCTCCAGCAAATCCAGCACGGACAGAATAATGTCCAATATCAAATACGAGGGCTCCAACCTCATCTTAAATGAATGATTATTCGAGTTCACAAGAAACATACAAAGAGAAACATAACAAGAAAGAAAAGACGGTTAAGAACATGGTCCAAAAGATGCCATACAAATATTGTCAAAAGTAAACATACCTCCACCGTAAACCCCGCCACTCATTTTACCGTCTCAGATAATTAAATATAAAAATCACAAATAAACAATTACAAAAAAAAGAGTAGCACTTGTAAATGAGGACAATGAATTTTTATCCAAAAAACCGGGTCTTATCACAAGCACACATACGGCACTATCTGATCCAAGAAGTATCCGAAAATACTCGATACACTAAGAGATGAGACAATTTTAAACATCAATGCCTTAGCACCAATCAAAGCCTATTCATTCAGCTCCAAACGATAGAATTCTGAAATTCATGATTTTCTAATTAAATTTTTATTTAGATTGCAAAGAGATTAATTAATCAATAAAGATCTAAATAAAATCTAAATTCGGATCAAAATGGAGCCAGCGCCATCTAGCAACTGTAAGTTAAACTAAAAACATAAAGAAAACGTAAAATAAATTATTAGGTTGTCCGGGCCAAAATGGCGGACATTTGATTGTTGTTAACTTCGAATTACTTGGACTTTTTTTTATGAATTTTCGGTTAATGATACCTGAATAGCTAAGAATTTTTTTGAAATTAAAAGAATAGAATTATATGGTTTGGTTAATTAATTAGAACAATTTAAATCAAAAATTCGTTTTTTTATTTTGTCGAAAATTTCAAAAAATCAAAGGGTCCCCCCTTTGATTTGCTCGCTAACTTTTTTCAATTTTTGGATGTTTTTTGATAATCAAATAAAAGCGTTTAATTTTGTTGAGTAAATTAAATTACCATTCGATGAAAGAAGGCAAGACGAATAATTTGTGTTAATTTCGTGCATCTATCAGTTGAGGTTTAGTCTACAGACTCGATAAAAGAGGGGAAATTTTCGATTTTTGATTTTTTTAATAAATTTTCTAATAACTTTTTAATTATTGTTAATTTCAGCCTGAAATTTTGCATAATTAATTTTGTGGTATCTGTTAATAAAATTCCGAAATTTGAGTTAGCTACGAAATTCCTATTCAAAAATATTTTTGATCAAACTTCCGCCACTTTGGCCCGGACAACCTAATAACAAATTTAAGTAAATCAACTTAAATCGACAAACCTGTTTTTATTTATCAACCGTTAAAATGTTCAAAAATGAAGCTAAAGCTGTAGTTCGTTCACGATGTTGGATTCATTCGGAAACAGATTAACTCTCAATGCTTCTCGAACAACATTTTTATTGAAAGCAAATTGTTTTCTTTCAAAGTAGATAATCTTGAATTTTTCAAGATCAAGTTATAACAATCAGAATAATTTTCAATTCTAAACAACTAAAATGCGAATGCACAGAAAACTATCAACAATTGTATTCAATCGGCAAAAATTGATTCCGAAAATTGCTCCAATGCGAAATGATTTCGAAGCTTTTTCTCATCACTCATTTAATCTTTAACTTATAGTCATAATTGGTCCAATAAGCACTATTACTAACATTGAGAAGATCATATAACCCAGTAAACTTGAATATTTGGTAAAGGTTGGACATTATAGCAGGAAAATTAAATATAAAAAATCAGCAAAGTTGAAGAATCAAAGCAAATACAAAAGAAAAGATCAAGAAATCGATCAACATTAGACATTGAAATTGGTCATATTTATTACTGACTACAAAGACAATTGAGTTTAAAGACGATACTTAACTAAAGAATCAACTTTCATAAAATGATTATTAACTAACTTTCCAATCGATTGGCAATTATTTCAAATTAAACTCCAATGCTCCCTGAAATGGATTCCTGTTTCACACAAGTAAACCATAGCAATACTGTATTGTTGAACCAAAGGTGGCAGCAGTTTTTATCCAGAATTGCCTGTTAAACTGAACTGAACCCTCTGAAGTCTGGAAAGTTATCTGCGTGAGTTTTACAAAATTTGGTGAGAGCAAATGAAGCGATTAGAATAGGTGAGTTGAAGTTTTCATCTGTAAAAGTTTACGGTAAAGTGTTATTGTTTAACAAGTGATCAGGTTGATCAGGGTGATCAAGTGAACAGACAAAAAAGCGATCAATTTTTATTGTTTTCCTCATCACATTACATTAAACCTCAACCTTAGCCAAATTGATTGTTAAGAGACCAAAGCAAACAAGAAACTTTTACCTTTGTTAATAAATAAACGTTCACCATCTTTAACCATGTTAATCAATTGAGTAACGGCGACAACACAAAAAAATGGAAATCAGTTTACAATTAAAGTGAATATTGTCAACTTTAATCGTGCATTTACAGTAACTAAGTGTGTTTGTGTGTGCTTATGGTTTGCATTTTTAATTAAAGTTAATCCAAATCATTGATTAACTCTTTGGGTTTAAAGTTGCAAAGAAGTCGCGATTACTCTGAAACAATGGATTTCACTATAGTTAATATAATAGCTTCACTTTTCATGTCTATTTTTCAATTATGTAAGTAAAAACATTTCATTAATCATTAATTAAACTTGACAAGTTGAATCCATCTTGAAAATTCAACTTTTAATGAAAATAATTAAAGGAAATGTTCAATGTTTACTTGGATTTCATGGAAAAGTATTTTTTGTTTCATCTGCGAAAATCGAAGTTGATTGTAAAATCAATTTTGGTTTGATTATTAGTCAAATTGTTGAGTCGATAAATGGTTGAGAAGGAAATTAATTTACCAATTGATTTGATTAATTGTTTGCGTTTTTCACTTCAATATCAAAAGGCTAATTAAATGTTTCCATTTCGTTTGGAAAAGCAATAAATCATCAATAAAACTGAATCTAAATGTTACCTTCTCATCACAATAATGATTATCATCACCAAACATCTTCATGATTCTCTCATGGTTATGAAGATAATTGAACATGAGAAAGGAAAATGAGGGAAACGAGTTTGAATAGTTTGTTGTTATTTTGCATGTAAATAACAATTGAAACTTGAAACTTTATTCGCTATTCAAAACGAGTTTCCAAATGACATGAAAGGTAATAAATTGAATGGGTTTAAGGTGCTTTAAGAAGAGTGCTTTCTAGACATTTCCGTTTGAGTTTTTACCTTGAAATGGCTTTCTGTTTCCAGACTGAGAAAAGAAGATTTAGAAAAAGTTTTTTTTTGTTTGTTTCGATTTTCTAATCAAAATTCGTTCTTTTTCTCATCAGGTATTAATGCTATAACATTGGAACATATTCATGTGCCTTCTCATGTTATGGTTGGCGACTCTGTTTGGCTTAACTGCACTTATGATCTTCAAGGTGATGAATTGTATTCCATTAAATGGTACAAAAATAGTGTCGAGTTTTATCGTTATTTACCGAAATCGGATCCGCCCAAACCACAAGGTTTTATTTGTGATGGAATATATTTAGATGTAAGTTTCCCTTCGTTCACATGTTTTGTTTCCAATGGTCATAATGGGAAAATGGTCACTTCCAGCTTTTAATTGCAATTAAATTTTAAGCTCAATAAGTTTATTACAAGTTTATTAACATCTTTTGAAAGCTTTTTACTGCAAGTTTGTGTTTGGTAAAGTTGAATAATGCACAATAAATGAAGGTGAAAGTGTTTTCAAGTAAAATCATCGAGTTTTGAGAAAATTTTGATTTTGTGTTGAAACAAATCTGCAATCAATTATTAATCAAACTAAAAACTAAAATATTATTAATAAGTTATCATCTTTCAAACAAATTGTTATTAAATCATCTTTTAAAAGCAAAAGGATAAAACGAACGATTTTCTCAGTCACTGAAAACACTCCAAATGAATAAAGAGATTGTAATAATGCGATTGAATGCGATGACGTACCTTGAGTTTATGAGAAAAAGTTGATCGAAAACGCCATTTCTTTTATAAAAGAGGAAAGTAAATGAGTTTTGTTGATTTGTTCACCACTGATTGCGATGAAAACACCATCAATCTGATCGACTAGCTTGACAGTCATTTTAGCCTCGATAATCTGTAAAATTTTCATTTGCTCTTTACTCGAAATTGATCGTTATTTCATGAATTATCGTGAGTTGGAAGAGAACTCTTGATCACATGCAAACTTTGCAATGTTTTTGAGTAAATAATAGTTTTGTAGCAAAAATTGAACCAACTATCAAAGTACAATGAGAGTTAACAAGACTCTAACTGCGTGATTAAGGTAACAAGTGTTTGATGAGAACAATTAAGTCTGAAAATTTAATCATTTCCAAAGGAATTTTTCTCTTCCAAAATCACAGGGAATCTTTCAGAAGAAACTTTGCAAATTTGCCCAACTAGATTAATGAGCCTGGCCAAGAGTGCTGACCAATCAAGTTGATTCAGTTTAACCTAAACAGTTGATGTTTTGACTTGAGCTAACCTAATCCAAGGGAAAACCTCGAGAGACAAACAATTAGTATCAAAGTTAATCATAGTTTTGCTCGGCTGTTAACAACTTATTTGATTTATGACTCTTTCAACAATCTGAATCTTGAAGTTCCCATGAAACTTTTCCTTTAACCAGGTGGACAAAGTAATTTCACCGCTTGTCTAAAATGTTGACGATTGTTTACCTGTTGGAAGACTAAACAAGTTCATCTTTTTGGAGATAATTAAAGAAAAGCAAAAGATGAAAGACTTTCAGAACTTTTGACTTTTTCGCCATTTCCATTTTTCTCTTCTTCAATCTGAAAATGTTTCAACTTGGAACTTTGAAGAACATTGAAACAGGAAACAAATTATATTGCAACGCATGATGATCAATCATCTTCCCTCCAATATATACAAAAAAAACTCTCGCCTTTTGCCCTTTCATTTGTGTTCATTACTTGTTGGAAGTAAATGTTGTGCTTTCAAAACAAAAAGTGAAACACATTTTCAGGTTGATTTTGATTTGTTGTCATCAGTTATTGGTAAATCGTCAATCAACTCTATTCACAAGCCTCATGACAGTTGCCACCAAGAAAAAGAGGAAAAGAGATAAATCGAATCCAGAGAAGAATAAATTATTGAGGCAAAAAGAAATTCAAATCTAAAGGGAATTTAACACTTGAAATTCATTGAACTTTATCAATGTTTCACCATTCAACATTATGGAATCACTTAACCTTTCCTTTCATATTCAATCATTAAAAGGATAACTACAATTATCCAAGTCATGAGGATTATCTTGAGGTAAAGCGAATTGGAAAATTTGAGAGAAATTCTTTTTTCCACCAAAGTTTTCTTGACAATAACAAATTTCGTTTCAATCAGTTTAATCAATTCTTCTTTCAATCAATTTTGAGCAAATTTTTATGCAACAATTTGATTGTTATTCAAACTTTGTATTACTTTGACAGGGAATTTGAGATTGAACAAGTTGAATACAAATTTCACTCCCAGTAAACTGTAAAGCATAATATTCCATTCGATTTCATTGTTAACCCTAAAAATTATCAACATTCATTTCCATCGTGAACAAACTTCTTGCTCAGTCAACCTCAAATGTTATCCAACTCTTGATTGTGTAAAGTGAAATGTGAAAAATAATTTTCTCTTTCCTCAAAATTGTGTCTGTCAGCTCAAGTGGCCTCTTCACACTTTATCATTTGACCATAAATTCATCAGGAAAAACTGTTTCTCCATCAATAACATCATGGATTATGAAGGAAAATGAAGAGAAAATTATCTTCAAAGAGGAAAAACAATCTTCCTTTTTGTCTTCACAGTTTAATTTCATTTTTCAGGGAATCACAAAATTTCAAAAAGTTTTCGTTTTCTTCTTTTTCCCTTCCCTTCTCTTCATCATCATGTTCATCATCCAACTGGACTCAATCAGAGTTGGAATATGGCTTTTCCTTTCTTTCCTCTTTTATCAGAAAATCATATTTTGAAAAATGAAAACTCGAATTGTAAAGGTCATTGTTAACAACAAAAAGCATATTATTATTTAGGAAAAGATTGAACTTCTTTTATTGTTTGACTGTTTTATCCAAATTCAATGGCTTTATTATGATGGAACAACGAAAATTAACAAAAACCTTTATTCAGATCTGATCAATGAAAATCAAATTTAATCATTCTATTGATGATATTTAGCCATTCTGGGGACATTGCAACCCAACAGCTACGACTGATTGATTGCATCGAATTTGCGATTTACTTTGCAAAAGCAATGTCAAAACGAGTCTATTCAATGTAAAGTTTGAACTTGTTTGCTAAATATAATGTCTAGTAGCATTAAAGTTCAACTTTCATCGATCGAAGCAATTGCAGCAAAGAAAACCTCGATAGCTTCTGATCGTATGTGTGAAGTACCCACTTCAACGGAGAAATGGAAAGATTCGCCTAAGAAAGGTTCAAAGATCATTAGAATGTGAAACGCAGTGATTAAAGCTGCAAAAGATCCTGAATACTTGATCTTTACCTGCAAAACTCGTTGCAAAGTGACTTAGAGATTTATTCATAATTATTTCGATGTAATTTGTGCAAATTAAATTGATTGATTTAAGTCGAGCTTACAAGTAAAGGCATTAATGTTACAGCTGAAGTAATGACAGAAGTCTTCGGACTCTTCCCTAATGCATGTTTTATGGATATATCAATGTTAAATCAACTGTTTTGTGACCTTAACTTTAGAGTCTTTTTTGAACTTCAACTTGATTAGAGTTGATTACGAATTAGTTTAATAGATATTTCTTTAGACTGTTAAAACTTGCTTTGCATATTAGTGACTTTCTGTTTCTTTCACTTTCAATGTAAGAGCTTAACCCTCACTGATCTTAGCATGGCTTTTACTTCAGTTATGAAGAGATCAATTTAACAGAAAGAAGTATTATGAATGTTTTATTGCTTATTATTGAGATCTTTTGATCTACAATTTCAAATTGTACTTATTTTGCAAATTCACCAATTAGCGAATTCGAAACGCAAATACTCCAAATCGATAGCAGAATACATGGACTGAATAAAGAAACTTCTTTAACTCGAGAGTTTTTGCGTTATGAAAGTAAGTTTTGGTCATTTGAACACGGTATAGCTGTTATGAGAAGTCAGTGTCTTTACAATCAGCCGTTTTTACTCTTTTGAATGCTGGCTTCGTTAATATGGAAGTTAGCTCTATTAAACGAGAATGATTGTTTAATTCTTTCCAAAGCTTTGTGTTCTGAAAAGGTATTAACATTGAATTGCAACAAACCAGATCAGCAAGAGCATGGATTTTGACAGAATGTCTATTTTGTTATGAGAAATATCACAGTTTTGATCAATCTGTTTTGTCCTCAATACTTCAGCCTGTTAATTATTTCAATCAATTTATTAATCTTATGCAATATATTCAATTCAGAAATATTAATTGACACAATTTTTATAATTATTTTCACGTAGAAGTTAATCTAAAACAAAATACAATGTATAATCAATTGATTTGACACTTTGAACTGAACTATTGAACTACAAGAAATCAATAGCAATATTGTTACTAATAGAATGTCGTGTTTAAAAGAAACTTTATTTGCATTTTCCTCAACCTAATTAGAATCAAAAAGATACAAAATGCTAACAAGAATTTCATCAAATCGAAAATAAAATTCTGCCTCACTCCATCATAAGTTGATTGTTTATACAAGTTTCACTATTAAATGTTGACGAATTTCGATATAAAATAAAAGATTTATCAAAACACTAAACTTATAAAGTTGAAATTACGAAAAAGCAACTTGATAAATTATCGTCAAAACGAGTTGAAAGTTTCAATCAATAATCTGAACCAATTGTCACCAAACTGGGTTTAAATGATTAGTCGCACAAGCTCAAGTTGATTTATTTTGACCAAATGAAGTAAAAAGTGAAATCAATATCGAACCAAGAACTAAATCCATTTAAAAGCACAATTATATCAAGAATGATGAACAAAAAATGAACCAATCGAACAATAATAAAAGGTAAAAAGTAAAAGCAATCAACATGTAAATCAAGGTAAACCACGAAAGTGAACCGAAAATGGTTAACATTCTTAAACTTGATTTCCCTTTGGTAACTCATCTAATAATCTTATAATTATATAATTGCACAAGCAAATTATGCATTAATAGTTTTGGAAGAAGAACGAAGAAAAAATGCGGAAAAAAAAGTTATTATCATATTCTTATTTGATATTAACTATTGAACTAGGAAATCAATAAAAGGCAATATTATGTAACTGGGAGTTCTCACTCAACAACACAACCTAATAATAATAATAAAAACAATAATAAAAGGAACAGGAATCCTTCAATTATTGGAATGATATCCATCAGTAAAACACTTTTCGTGATTAAATGCGTTCCTTTGCTTTTTAAGGCTATAATCAAATAACCATGACTCTTTCAGTGTTTAAACTTGATTTTCATTGTAATCCTCAAGTTGTGATAATACATTTAGACT